AGGTGAGAGTTCTGCAGGTGAATGGGCTGCACCTGGAAAAGGGATTAGGGAGGATGGGTTCTTTGTCTATAGAACAAAGAACTGAGAAGTAGCTAAGATATTTTTAGTTAATCCTTTGGAGAAAGGTTTAACCTTGCAACCTTTAGTCTCGGCTTTAGGAAAGTGTCACATTTATCTGTGGATTTTCAAAGGCTCCGTGTATTAATTTAATATATATAACTGAATATTAAGATGAAAGCAATTTGCCATTAACTGCCAGTGGCTTCATTTGTTACACTCGGGCCTATAGGGCCTCGAACCTCTGACCAGTCTTACACGGTCCGCAACATTAGGGAAGGGGCAGAGTCTTAGCCCCAGGCTGGTACATTGTTCTACCCACTTCCCATGACCTGAGTCAACCTGTGAAGGGTGAAATGGCTGGGCACCTGGTGCTGTTGCTCATGCCCACCCCCACCCCCCTGCAGCCCCAAAGCTGAGAGTGGTGGGAGGGGCATTCCTGGCAGGGAACAGCCTTTGCAAAGGCTCAGCGGCAAAGCAGGGCCCAAGAACAAGTAGGGGGTCGCTGCCAGGCCTCACCCTGTCCAAAGCAACACACTTCTCCCTCCAGATGGACCTTTGAGCTGCTGCCCATCCCTGCAGGAGACAGTGCTGCCTGCCTGGCTAGCACTAGGCATGAGCGTGCGCTGGTGACCCAAGACACAAGCTGGGGGAACTGGTAGGGCATCTCTCTCCTACTCTGAGAGGCAATGCCTCTGCCCCAGAGACCCAGGACTACTTACTCTCTTGAGGGCGGAAAGAAGATACTGAAAACGATGGCTTGGAGTCCCCAGAGACCCATTTTTACCCGTAAAAGCAAAGAAGGAGCAGTTGGAATTTTCATCATGTGTAAAGTAAAAGATGAAAGAGCTTGCCTCATATTTTGGAGATAAAGTTATTTAAAGATGGGGGTCAGATGTAAGGGGACTTTAAAAAGTTCATGAAAAAACTCCATTATCTTGTAATTCCTTCCATGTTCCACAAAACTTTTGAAGCTTCCTCCTATATGTTGCTGTAAATGCTGTTGTGCTTACCTTGCAGTTAGCAGTTTAGTGCTTATCCTAACAACGCCACACCAGGACTCCTCCTATATACATGCATTGATATATGTGTATATTGTTGTTAAGTGCTGGCAAGTCAGTTCTGACTCATAGTGACCCTGAATAGGGTTTCCAAGAAGCAGCTGTTGCGTTTGAACTGCCTCCTTTGTGGTTCCAAGCACAATGCTTTTCCTATAGCGCCATACCAGGAGTCCACGTGTGTATGAGAGGGCTTCAAAAAGCACATTGATAAGCACAGTTTGGGAATAACAAGGCTCTTGTTATTGGAGAGGAGGAGTCCTGGCTTGGCGCTGTGGGTTAATGTGCCAGACTACAAAACCATTCGAACTGCAAGGTCAGTGGTTCAAGTTCACCAGCTGCTCCTCAGAAACCCAATACAGAGTCGCTATGGGTTGGAACTGACTCAATGGCACTTCACAACAACAGCACAGTGATACAGGGAGAGTCCTGGTGTGGCACTGTGGGTTAATGTGCTGGACTGCAAAGTCAGTTGGAACTGCAAGGTCAGCAGTTTCAAGCTTACCAGATGCTCCTTGGAAACCCTATGCAGGGTCGCTATGGGTTGGAACCGACTCGACAGCCCTTAACAACATAATATGGGATGGAAACATAGATTGAAGGGGCAAAGAAGAGGAAATAATATTAAGGAGCTCGACTGTTTAATGGATATGGGGTTCTTCTGCCTACTAGTATAATGTAGACATTTAAGTGGGATAAAAAAAATAATTGGGAAAGATGATTACAGAAAGCTTGTAAGCCTGCCTTCTGCCTATAATGTGATATGTGTACATCGGAGTCCTGATGTAGTGCTATGGGTTACTGCAAAGTTGGTTTGAACTGCAAGGTCAGCGGTTCAAGCTCACTAGCTGCTCCTTGGAAACTCTCTACAGCGTCGCTATGGGTTAGAACTGACATGACAACAACAATGTGTACATTAAAAAAAAAAAAGGTACTAGAGGTAAATGCTGTTAGCTGGGGATGTATGCAGGAGATTGTGGTCATTAGAGTGATTAGTTGAATGGAAAAATGGTTATCTGTCCTGTAAGCCTTCACTCACTTAATACACAGTAAAAGCTTTTTTAAAAAAGAAAAAGGCATGTAGAACTATTCCTTTATCTTGTAATTCCTTTTCTCCATGAGCTTTTTGACGTCCCTGTATATTTTGTGTAGCTACAAACACCTCTGCATGAGTGTCCTCAGAAAGGGCAGCTATGAAAGCCATGGAAAACCCTGTGGAGTGCAGTTCTACTCTGGCACACATGGGGGCGCCATAGTCACAGTAGATTTGACGGCCACCATTCACGGGTATGCCACCAGGATGCCAATTCTCCACCCACTCAGCTGTAGGTCCAATGTCGTCCTGATTGCAAACCAGCAAGGTTTTGTGGATGCAAAGAGCTAGGAAGAGTCCAGGAAATCTTGTAGAAGGAGAACAATGAACGACTCAAATCCCAAATCTCAAAAACAAGCTGCGGTGGTGAAAACCATTTGGTATCAGTGTAAAGAGAAACAAACAAGGTTCGCCCAAATTTTAACCCTGCTTGTGAGCTGCGAGCTTGGTGACCAGAGCTCCTTCAGAAGTTGAACCTGGGTCAGGACCTAAAGGCATACCTGGCCCAGGGGAGGGTGGAACAGGACTGGCTGCCTCTGTCTTGTGACAGGGGAGCTGATAAGCAACACCCAATGTGACCTACAAATCCCAGCCAGCCCCCTGCCCTCCAGCTTTTATGGGATTCTCACTATCCTTGTTATGTTTGGGCCTATTGTTGTAGCCTAAGGAGCTTTGGTAGCATGGTGGTGGTGGCTGCGTGCCTTCGAGTCGGTTCCGACCCATAGCGACCCTGTACAGGGTTTCCGAGGGTGTAAATCTTACAGGAGTAGAAAGCCTCACCTTTCTCCCGCGGAGCAGCTGTTAGTTTCGAACCGCTGACCTTAAGGTTCGCAGCCCGATTCGTAACCACTATGCTACCAAGCTGCTAACCTCAGGGCAGTTCGAAACTACCAGCTGTTCCACAGGAGAAAGTCTCACCTTTCTGCTCCCACGAAGATGTTGTTGTTAAATGCCGTGGAGTCGGTTCCAACCCATAGCGACCCTGAACAGGGTTCCTGAGCCTGGATCGCTATGAGTTGGAACAGACTTCAGCCTTGGAAACCATGTACAGGGTCACTACGAGTAGGAGCCAACTCCACGGCACATCATTACCACCACCATTGTTGTAGCCACTGTTATCAGTCTATCTCGTTGAGAATCTTCCACTTTCTCACTGAACCTTCTCCAAGGGCTGGTCCTCCTGATAACATGCTAGAGCAAGTACATGGGATGAAGTACTTGATTATCTGCTACTTGATATGGTTGAACATGGACAATTTCTTTTTGGTACAGTGA